TCTTGAACCCTGATCACTGCAGCATCCTTTGTTGGGGGTTGACCGCTGTGTCCCCCGATGCTGGGAGATGGGACCTTCTAGACTTTCTCCAAAACCGGGTCCTTTCCCAGCCTCTCCATCCTCCTGGAGCTGCAAGCAGCGGCATGTGCGGTTTTTTTAATCCCCTGCTCTCAGCACTGACGCTGACGCAGCAGGAGCACGACCCTCCTCTGTGCTGTTACTGATGAGCCGATGGATCCAGCCTTGGCCCGAGGAGCCAAGCGCATCCTCACGGCCCCATCCGTCAGCCACAAGGCCATAAACAAGAGCGACAGGCAGACCCTGGTGGCGGGTAGTTGCTTGCAGCCTTCAGGAAAAAGAAACCCTGAAAATAAATAAAGCTTTAAATTTATTGTAAGTCAAAAGAGCAATGGCAGAAACTAAAGTCCAGGGTGTTCAGCGAGGCCAGAGCCTGGGAGAGCAGGCAGAGGGGAGGCTGCGGGCAGCTGCTGGGGTTTCTTCCCCTGCTACACCAGATTTCAGCACAGAAGGAATTTTCTTTATCTTCTCAAAAGATTTCCTGGGAACTTCCGAGGTTTGCTTGAACTACATTTCAGTCTGGGATAAAATACTTTCAGTTTTGCCTTTGCAGCTGAGCAGGGGAGGCAGAGGCTCCGTCACACCTCCCCCTGCCCCAGCAGTATGGGCACAGAGAATTCTGCCAAATCAAAAGGCTTTGGTGGGGGTTTTTTTCAGAAATTTTGCAGCCAGCCATAACAGGAAATTTCTGATTTCCAGCCATTTGCTGGAGGCCAGGAGAGGTTTGGACTGGGGAAATGTCCCTAGACAGGTATCTCCTGCCACGGTCTGGCAGCAAGCAAAACCTCTATTGCCTACTGGAAGAAATACCACCAGAGCAGGGTTCTGGACACCCACCCACCTCGGCAGAGCCCCCTGCCCGGGCTGGTGTCCTGGGGGGTTTCTACCCTCCTCTTTGCCACCAAAACTCTGCCTGTCTCTCTCCTAGGGTGAGAAGGGCAGCGTTGGCAACCTGGGCCAGCAAGGGGATGATGGATTCAAGGTGCGTGAGGGGTTTTGTTCTTTTCCTCCCTCCCCATCGTCCCTTGTCACCCTGTTTGACACCCTGCCATGTCTCCTAGGGCAAGCTGGGACCCCATGGCGTCCCTGGGAGGCCGGGACCCAAGGGACAGCAGGTAAGGGCAGGGTTGGGTGGAATGGCAGGAATCGAGATGAATATTTGGGATGAATTCCTCATTTTTACGTGCAAAATCCACCTGGGAAAGGGGCTGGTTTGTAGAAAGACATAGGGCTGGGGGATGCTCCATGCAGTGCCCTGACCTCCTCTGGTGTCTTTTCAGGGTGACACTGGCCCCCCTGGCCCACGGGGACACCCGGGCATCCCCGGGACACCGGTGAGTCCTTCGCCCTCCTGGCAGGTTTGGGGTTCGCTCCCAGCCCCGTGGGGGTGATGCTGGGATGGGGCTTCGATCCTGCCTGCCTCGCTCATAGCTGGGTCATGTCCTTCTCTTCCAGGGCTTGTCTGGACCCAAAGTAAGTAGGGGGGAGTCCCTGGAGTGGGGCTGAGCCCTGCCTTAGGGCACCCTCCCCTCCTGCCCTCTCCCTGGGGTGCAGGGTGGCCCAGGGGAGCACCCTGGGGTGCCGCCCAGCATGGCAGCATCCCGTCACCTTGCTTTTCTTCCCTCCTCCGCCTCGTCCTTCGGCAGGGGTTGAAAGGCTTCCCAGGGCTGCCGGGACCCAGGGGCGCGCCGGGGCTGCCG